TGAATTGTCAACTCAGACGATGCCTCCAGGCAGAACCTGAACAATTGATTCAAGATTTCAGCCCGTTTACGGCTATTAACATTCATTCAGCACTAGGATCCGGGATCCTCGTCCATGGAAAGGCTCAGCCCACCCCCAGATAAAGTCCTGGGACCCCGCAGACAATGCCGGAGTATTTACAACCGCGGGGTAAGGCAGGTGGGGCTTCCAGGAGCCTCGGGCAAGAGCCAACAGGCAGATCGAGCTTGGAGTCATCCTCATGAAAAGCAGCTGAGGAGCACAGAAGCTCCGCTGAAGAAAGTATTGCCAGTTATCTTTAATAAAAGGAAATGCCGCATCAGGCTGCTTTGGCACGAGTGTGAAACCCCACATTCTGCTCCTGTTACCGCTTAAGAACTACTTACAGTAGGAGGCAAAGCTTCTCCCTGAGAGTCTGTGCTAGCAAGACAAAAATAAACCCGAGCAGCAAACCAAATGCCTGACCTGGCCCTGCTCATTTAGCATCTGATGCTTCCCGCAGCTGGCAGCACCGATCCTGCTACAAACAAGCACGGAAGACAGGAAGAGCACGGCCAAGCATTTCCATCAAAACCCTTCCACTTACCGCGCTTTTCACCTTAAGACCGTCAAGGAGATCCTAGAGAGACTGCAAGACACAGGAGCTGGTATCCAACCCCACCCCTTGTAGGACGCAGCTCGTGTCCCTCTGCCTTCCCCTGGTAAAGCTCTGCCTCCTCCCTAAAGCCGAGATACTCCCCTGATAAGCGCCCTGCAGGTCTGCCCAGCACGCAGGGCCCGAGCTCTCCTGCAGCCTGGAGAGCCCGGTGCAAAGCGGCTGCAAACATGTAGCTGGAGAACACGCCCACATCCTTTAGTCTCAACAGTTAAAACCAAAGGGAAACATCTCGCCCGAGGCTGTCCCCTCCAGAACCTGCTCCAGTCACCCACCCCAACCCAAGGAGCCCTCTGGAGCTCTGCTGGGATTAGCTGTCAGTGCTCCATCTCGGAGGAGTTCGCTGTCTGCCCAGGTTTGCCTGGAGTTCCTCCCCACAGCGGCAGCCACAGCTCAGCCCAGGCTCGGAGCAATCCCCTCTGCTTGCACCCACGGCAGGGGGACCCGCTTCCCCGCCGCCAGCCCCAGCTCAGCCCGGGCTCGGGCCAATCCCCTCTGCTTGCACCCACGGCAGGAGCACCCGTGGGTGCTTCCACAGGCCCAGCAGGTTGTGCAGAACCCCGGGGATACCCAGTGACACCAGAGTGGCTGCTCTTACCCTGCTGCCGGGCACAGCCCCAATCCGCAGCAGGGAACAGCACTTCATCAGCACGGCCAGGGGATGGACAAGTGGAAACAAAAGTGTGATCTAGCTGACAGGTCATTTAAAGTCATCAGGAGACAAACACTACCTCCTGACACCTGGTAAGACACCCAGTCTCTGTTCTGGAGCTGAGAGTTTCTAGAGATGTTCCTAGATCACAAACAAATGAAAATGGCAGCTCAGGTTCCCTGCAGAAGGCACACAGTGCCACAAATGATTTAGAGGTTAAATCATCATGCTGGATCTAGAGCACAGACCCAAGGAGCATCACACACACAGACACAGCAAGGTGAACCTCAGCCAGGAAGAGAGGTCATCATATCCTGCCTCAGCTAAACCTTAAGCCAAGAACCCATGTCCAAGCACTAAAATGTCCCCAGGGCACTCTGAGGCCTGAAGGAGGGCACTGTAAGGCTCCAGACACCTCGAGCACTCCAAAAAGAAAACACTAGAGTGAGAAAGTGAATGTCAGGCTTGATTTGAAATAGAGAGGAGTTTCCACTCCGTCAGAGCAACAGAAAAACAACCAGTGAGCCTTACCAGCATGGCCAAGAGCTCTCGTTTGCTGGCCCTGCAGGGACAAGCCAGCAGCTGAAGCACTGCAGCTCTCAGGTGTTTGGAGCTCCCATCCCATCAGCAAAGCCCACAGCTGCAGCAGCTCAGACGGTGGGACAACATACACCTCTGCAGCAACAGCCACAAAGGATGTCCAGGGTAAGTGGAAACAAAGGCACCTCCACAGCCCTGAAGCTGACACACCTGGAGGAAACCTACAGATAATGAAATCCCAGGGCTAGACAGAGCCTGCAGCATCACAACATCACTGGCATGGGATTAAGATATCCTAATCCTTAGGGAAGTCATTAAATACAGCTCAGCCACCAGTATGGCCAAGATGTGCATTAGCTCCTGGGGATGCTCTGCAGCAGGCAAGGCTCACCCACCTCACCTACAGATCAGTCTTTGTTTCTTTTATGTCTTTTGTAGAAATCCCACTGGGGCAGCACCATGCTGATGCTCTCAATACTCTAGCTACAGCCAAGAGGACCTTCAATCCTGAGATGGGTTTGAGATGCTGTTAAAATGTCAGTCTCAACATAAACAAGCCAAGATGGCTCCATACTTGGACCAAAAGCAACTCTAGGGTTTTTTTTTCCCATGGTATATTTTGCCTCCTGAGCTAAAGCCAGCTACACCAACAAGAAGCATAATGCTGGTGTAACTTTTCCTACCAAGCAACACTGCTCAGAGCAACAAGCCCATGTACCCAGCTCACCCCAGACGGGGTCAGGCTGGGCTGTGTCAGCTCCCACCACCAGCCAGGCTGAGCCCCAGCAGCTCCCA